CAGACATTGGAGACAGGAAGGACTGGTCATTGGAAAATGTGGCCTTGCGATAGAAACAGCTGGAGATCACGTGGCGTCTGTAAGATCAGCAACACTGCTCCAAAGACCCGTTTCCAGCGATAGAAATGGTGAGTGTCCTTGCTCTCTCCTCCTGTCGAGACTGCGTCTCGGAAACCCAAAGGGTGCCACTACTCCGTCCTGTGGGGCCAGTTTCCTCCTCCTGCAGCTGGAGGACATCAGACGTGCCGCCCCACCAGCCCCCCCGCCTTTCGGATCCAGTACGGCAGTGCAGTGGTCATGCGTTGAGCCGCTAACCACAAGGTTCACACTTCGAAACCACCCGCCACTCCTCGGGAGAACAGTGGGACTCTCTAGTCCTGTAAAGAGGCAGTCTCAGAAATTCACAGGGGCAGTTCTACTCGGTCTATAGGGTTAGCAAGTCAGTCTCAATTGGAAGGCAGTGCGTCACACCTGATGCCCCTGCCCTCCAAGCCCTTGAGTTCTGTGTATTCTCCCGAGGGACTGAGGAATTCCTGGCATCTGGGCCAGGCCACTACACGTCCACATTTCCATCAAGGAACTGAGTACCATGCCAGGGCAGCTGGGCTCAGAATCCCTGCAGGTGGACACTGTCAGTACATCTGGCTCCCCCAGCTGGACCCCATTTTCAGCAGTGTGGTAGCTGCTGCTCCTGTCCATTTGCTGGGGGTCCACCCCAGCTCACAGTGACCCCATGCACCCAGCAGAGCCATCCTGGACTTCTCAAGGGCTGTGGCCTCTCTCCCGACACGCTCCTGGGTGGGTCTGGAATAGTAGCCAGCACCTCCTCTGGGGAGAGAGCCATTCTCAATGGCCCCCCGGGGGTCTGCTGGGGTCTCAGGCTGGTCGTAGCTCAGAGGCAACATGAGGGTAAAAGGCTCAGCTCTTGAAGTGTGGTCTTCAGGTGAGGGGGAGGGGGGCCCGCCCTCCTCAGAGAAGGAGGGGCTGTCTCTGCTTTAAGGGGTAGCAGGGTGAGTTTGGAGGCAGGGTGGGAGGGCAATCAGCCAACCCACTGGACATCGTCCATCCATTCCACCGCCCCTCAAGGGCGGCACCGGCTACCACCACCTGTCACAGGGAGGCGGCCAAATCACTGCTATCAGCCGAGGCGCTCAGCACCCAGCACCTTCGTGCACTGGCAGGGTGACAGCCTCCTGGTTAGATGGTGGCATGTTCCAGTGCGACGGATGCTTCACAGAGCCTGCAGGCTCAGTGGGTAGGTTAGTCCACGCCCACTAGCTGCTCCTCGGAAGAGCGCTGTGGAGATGAGGGGGGTGAGGGCAGCTTTGCCCTGCCCTTTGGGGTGGCCATGAGCCAGGATCACGTGGACAGCGGTGGCGTTGCTTTGGGTACATAGCCTTTGGCCATCGCCACGTGTGTTGAACTCGCCCCGCACCCCTGCAGCGCTCGCTCTGAGCGTGCCGCCCCAGTCCCGAGGCCTGGTGTCTGCCTTCCCGACAGGCTGCCTCTCCTCCGAGGACCTTCGCGGTCGTTCAGTCCAGCAGCCGGGAGCGCACCTGTCTGACCTCGGTGCCCAGCCGGCTGCCCTCCGGGGGTGACACTACCCCCAGACCTTGGCTGCTGCGGGCCCCCGGGGCAACCCAGGGCCCCCGCCGCC